TGTAGGTTTTGCAAACTCTTTGCACAGTGGGACAAAGAAAAAAACAATAACAACACTGAAGACCTCTGCCTTTTGTGGATAAGCAGTAGGAATTCCTTGGAAGCTCATAAACCAGAGCTGGATGATCCATGTTTTTTTTTTTTATCCACACCCAACACTTAAGCATAAATTAGCAACTTCTAGGAAGTTGTCTTAACAGATTAATTTAGTGCAAGACGGATATTGTGAGTTGCACAAGTTGGACTAGTGGTTCAGTCTCTTTAATTTATGCATTATGACCTGATCACCACTTATGCTAGCTTTCCTCTTTAACCTTACTGGCACCTAGAGAGATTACGTTTTGTCTGTAGGCATTATTGATTGGATTAACAATTTCAGCCTTCATATTCTGAGAGATTACCCTATATAGTCCTGTAAGTCAGTGATGTATGCCAAGATTCCCACAGAGACTGCTCCAAGATTCCCCTGAGAAGTTTCGTGCCTTTCAGCAGAGATGCCTTTAGCCGTTCACTGAATTCAGGCATGCATGAGTGTAGTACAGGACATTGTGGTTATCAAACTATCAGCAAGGCTTGGAGTGATCATATTTCCATTTAGGTGGCTAGATAGCACAGCTGGCTTCATGCATTCTCAAAAGCTGCGATCAGTGGTTATGTATGAACCATGTTTTAAACATAGAATCAAATATCGGCATCAGTGATTGTAAACAGGTAATATTACACTATAGGGAAAGACAGACAAAGCAAGTTCATGTGCTGGGTCACTGTTGGTTCTTTATGGCTGTCCATGGTTTGTTCCCCCCAAAAATTCAGTCTTATATACTTAAACTACAATGCAAAAGGTAGAACAAATTTTATGTTTTGATTACAGCAAACATTTTTTACTAATGAAGGCTTTATATCGTTGGTGTCAAAATCAAACCCTTGTCAAAAATAAGAGCTGATTTGTCTCTGTGTGTGCATGCAACCAAGCTGTTGTTACACATGATGGTCAACCTCTTTGCGCTGGACACAGGATGCCATAACTCACACTACAGTTATGGAATTACTAATTGATGAAAACTGGAAATAGAAAGCAATATGTTCCACACATATTTGTGAGAAAACACCCACACATGCAGCACTCAATTAGGAATTCACATCCACATACTCCAGGGACATGCACTCACCTCTCTTCTCACCTACACACCCATACAGTGCAAGCACAGCACAAGAAACCAGGAAGTGCATGCCTCATTGCTCACATTGCGACACTCACACACACAGCTACGTGGGTAAGCACACACTTGTGTGTTCATGCACACACCGAGAGATGTTGAGCTCATTAAGAGATTCTCAGAGGGCAGCCAAGAAAGACAGGCTACTGTGGGAACCAGGAATCTGCCACTCTACTGACCTAAACAGGCACATCTATTATGTACAGGAAATAAAACAACAGAAGAAGACAATATGATGCTTTATTCTGATGAGGGACCATGCACCAGTGATAGGTAGTCCCACATTGATTTGAACTTTTTTTTAAACTTTTTTTGATACTTTTTTTGATACTTTATCCTAGAATTGATGATTTTAGTGGCTTTTTGCCAGGCTTTGGCAAAGTTCTAATGGCTTTGGTCATGACTGGTTAATTTTATGACACTTATAGGAAAGCATGCATTACAGGAAAATAAAGAAACATCTACAAGCAGTTGTTCAACATTATCCACTCCTGTATGCGCACTATATTTCACACTCATACAAATGTAAACTTAAATCTGTTAAAGCAGGTTGATTGTTTCAGCTAGCTCAAAATACTGCTTCCACAAAGTGCTGTTGTTGTTTCACCTGGACTGTCCAACCTATAACTAGCTTCACTTTTTACAGTTTGACTTGTACAAGTTAATGAGTAAAGATTACTTCAGTTTTCATGCCATGGCTCCCAGGGGGATCTGTACACACAAACCAAAGTTGCCCTCATGCTAGCACACACACACACACTAAAACACTGGGCACATATCCATCTGCTAAAACATAATCCCCCTTCATCTGATACTAAGCCAAAAGATGGAAGGATGAGGAGGTAAACAGAGGATGAGACAGGGAGACAGAACAAAGCAGAGAAAATCTAAAGATAACAATCCTCTTCGCCCTATTTCCCCTTGACCTCTGGCTATTAATCCGACGCAATGTGTATGAAGAGATTTTGACATTTTGAGACAAATAGTTAGTTTAGGTTTGTTAATTTGAACATTTTAACACGCAGACCTGAACTTTGTAACAAAGCTTTGACTGTTTATGCAAGCTTGCATGCAACTTTAACTTAAGAGAATCGTGCATTAATACAAGCACCTAAAAAGATGCAATTGCAATAAACAAAGATGGCAATAGTTTCATGGAGGCACTCAGCCACTAATAGAGACAGTTTCTATATTTCTTTCCTTCCTTTGATATTTTCTGGACTACTTTCAGGAAAATACAGCCCAGAGTGAGAACAGATACACCTTTTTGTGTGTCCGGTCTTTATGAAATCATCAGGGCTGCCACATTTCGAGACTTAATGATGAATACATGCAAAACCTAAAAACCTATCTGACTAAACAAACTCAAGTTCAAGTTACTCTCTATTTTTTCACCTTGTAAAAAAGCATCGTCTGACCTCATTTGGATCACCTCTGACCTCATTACTATATGTGATCATTCTCAGATGTAACACAGACTCTCTTTTGACTACTTTTTATGGCATTTTTGTTTTCTTTTTGCCCTTTACATTCTTTTTTGAATTTCCATTCCATCCCTTCTTTCACTTTTTATGTTATATCATGATAAACCAGGAGCTGACCCAAAAGCTAAGCTAAGGAAGAGAGAGAGAGAGAGAGAGAGAGAGAGAGAGAGAGAGAGAAGTCTACCCTTAAAAATATTTTGGTTCGCATGTGATTTTGTTTTTGAAAATATTTATTTAACAGAAAATTAATAAGATAGAAATGTTTAAAATGATAAACTTAAAAATAGAGGCTCTAACATGCAAATATTGCTAATTATAGTATTCCTAAATATATCTAAAATTTTCAGAAGGCTAATAGTGGATCACCTCTCTTGGACCAGTAACAAGACAGCGGCGTTCAATGGGTTATAATCATTCATTCATAAGTCATTCATTCCTGAGCCCAGTTTCATTTTGCTACCACTGAGGACATCCTGGTAAACCAAGGGTGAAGTCAACATTCACTGTGGACCATCGAGATCACCCTTAAGCTAAAACCATTGTTTGGAATATTCAGACTTTAAGGCCGAAGTGTTGCTTCACCAGGCTCAGAACAATGCAGAGCTTTGCTCCAAGTAGCTTCCAAAGTTTCAACAGGCCTGTCAGTGCTTAAGATTAAATCAACAGATTAAGCGGATAGCCCACTGCACCCATAAACAAAGACACACAAGAGACATTAGTTCTACAGCACATCCATACAATGCATGCTTGCTTTAGCAAAAAAAAAAGTTTACTTAGGCTGACACTTAACACAGGCATGAAACACAAGTGAAAAGACAATACCTGCTACGGTAACTGCATTTTAATGTATGTTTGTAGTCTAGATAGAAACTAATGACACAGATTAGCATTATTTTAAAATTCATGGTAATTCAGTTGTGTCAACATGGCTAGTTGGTCTCAGCTGTCTATGTTTTTACATATGAGCAACTTATGTTCATTTAAGATCCAAATATTGCTACCCTGTTACTACATTCTTGGCAGGTTAAAGTTTTAATACCATAAGAAGATTTCATGTCTGTGTGTGCATGTGTGCGTGTCCATACACATTGTGTATGACAACAACCGATCTCTACATATACAGTACTTACAAATTCACTCCCCTGGTGCATATGCCTTTGAAGCTCAGCAGGGTAGTCTAATAGCTTTTAATTTTAATTAAATTTCTCTCCCTATTAATAACCTATATAATTCCCTAAGTGGTTTCAAGTTTTAGAGGTGCTGCATTAGTCATTAGCCAATTGCTCAGTAATGGGTAGGCTTTCTGCTGACTCAGCAGAAACCCGAAGTTGGCAAGTTCATTTTATAAAGTCTAAATAACTCTGATAATTTTTGTGACTATGCACATGAACATGGTGCAAAAGAAATGAAAGCAAACAAGACATGCCAACAGTATTTGTGTGACCAGGGAAAAAGTGATAAAAACAACAGTGAGTCAAGTCAAGTCTGAAACACACTGATATTTTACGGTGGTGGTTAGATCACTGTTAGGGAGTGATTCCAAACAGTTCATTTCCAGATTTATCACATGTGCTGTGTTATCTTAGATGGGTTGCAACACCTCATTTTGAATTACAGAAAATATATGACATTAACGTCCCTCAGGCAGAGCAAAGTGATGTTGTCACTGCCAAGTGATGAAACGTTTCTCACACTGAAAAACACAACATCTAGATGCTCAGGTCCAGCTTTCCTTACCCAGATGATCATGCATGCATTGCACAATGCTGTCACTTACTGTGACTGCTTGGTTAAAACTTGTGTAACAGATCTCATCCCCTGGATTTACTTGTATCTCATATTTCCTCAGCATGAATTAACATTTAAGACCTGAGGCAAGAAAATTTCCCAGTAAGTCCTGGACAAGTTCATGACACATTTCCTTTCATGTAACTGGTGACACCCCCCATTTCCTCTGGATTTTCTAAAAAAAAAAAAAAAAAATCCACTTTCGCGTTTGCTCATTTCCTCATTCCATTTTGCAAAGTGTGTTTTAACAATCAAGTACTTAATTACAATAATCAGAAAGCAAAAGATGGATCAATAGAACGAATAGATACGAAGAAAACTTTAAAATACATTTTATCGATGTTTCTTTTGAAAGGTTTTCTTTCTTTCTTTTTTTTTTCTTTTTTAAATTATCCTGTATAACTTTACACCCAAGCATCTCACCCGCACTCCCACAGCAAGCTGGACGCTCACACACGGTGCGCACGCGCCACTATTTGGCAAAGTTTGACGCCCCAACTTTAAAAGTGCAGATGCATTAGAAACTGGAAAACTATGCGCGATATTTCTCAGTGGCCGAATAGATTTTTTTTAGTTGTTTCACAGAGATAAGAAGTCCGGCGCCTACAGTCTCCAGTCTGACCGTGAGCGTGGCTATATTACCCTCCACCTGCGCTGAGCTATTTCAGAGTTTTGCACTTGGTACGCCTGTGCGCGCATAACTTTTTAAAGAAAGCAAAGACTTCCATATTTTTTGGCACTTTGGAACAAGACGGGGCATAGAGTGCGTCAGACTTCAAGCGTTGGAATCAACAAGTGATTCCAATTTACGGGTAAAGGAGAGAGCTTCTCAAAGCTCGCAGTTATTGCAAACGTTAATGGAAAGCTTTAGATAACTTTTGAAGTACATCATTTTTCGCTTAAGCCACTAGAAGGCGAAGAGGACATTTACTCATTTTTAACCTAGCATCATTCTCAGCAACATGAGAGGACCGGTGTTTTTCCACATGTGGACGGTTCTAATTTTGGGAACTTTAACAGGAGTCGTGAGGGCTCAGGTCTCTACGACCAAAGTAATGAGGGGCAACAACAGAAGAGACGGTGAGATCACCTTTTTTTAAAACTTTCTTTAGCTTTAATATCGATGTAGTTGTAATAACATATTTTGTGGTGCACAGTGTGTACGTGGATGTGTGTGCAAACGACTGACTTGGTGGTGAAAGTTAAGTGATCTAAAAATAAGCGATGGAGAAACAGGAAGCGCATAAATTCCGTTGAATAACAATTGAAAATTTTGAAAATAAAGTAAAGAACGGGCATCACTTCGTCCCACTGGGTGTTAAAAACCTTTTGTAGCATAATTATCATGCATCGCTACATAATTTAAGATAAGGTCTTCAGATTCTCAGAGTCTCGTGGCTGTATAAATTTCTGGATGTGTGCCATGCTTACTTTGCGCTCGTGCCTGAGGGCAAAGTCATGGTGAAGTAGCGCTGAGTACCACGCGCGCGCACACCCAAACAGCTGCAGCGTTGCTTTTGGCTGGAAAGCATGAAAATACCTGTGTATTAGGTTCTGACCTGGATAGCTGCCCCTGAGGCCTGTTTGACTAAACTCTCTCCTGTGTGGGTGTAGAAAACACAAGGTTGCATGGGGAGCTCAGCCATGAATAATAATAATGGATTGGATTTATATAGCGCTTTTCAAGGCACCCAAAGCGCTTTACAATGCCACTATTCCTTCACTCTCGCATTCACACACTGGTGGAGGCAAGCTACGGTTGTAGCCACAGCTGCCCTGGGGCAGACTGACAGAAGCGAGGCTGCCATATCGCGACATCGGCCCCTCTGGCCAACACCAGTAGGCGGTAGGGTAAAGTGTCTTGCCCAAGGACACAACGACCAGGACCAGGGATCGAACCGGCGACCTTCCGGTTACAGATACGCTTCCCAACCCCTTGAACCATGGTCGCCCCAATAGTGAATGACTGAATGAAAGTCTGACACAATAAAACCCTATTAGACACGTCTTAAACTATCTTTAGTTTATTATTATTATTATTATTATTATTATTATTATTATTATTATTATTATTATTGTTGTTATTATTATTAGCTTTTTCATCATTTTCAATTTTATGAATCATCTCAACCAAACCTGTCAACAAAACGGTCAGTATTTGAGTTTTATCATTTGAATCCAACCGTGTAACATCCACCCGAAGGACGTTTCATTGTACCCCGTTAGATAAATGCATGTATTTACGGCAAACATCACAATAGCCATTGCAGTGCTCTAGCAGCATTATGAGGACAAGCAGATGGAATAGAAAAGCGGTGAGTGATGGAAGAAATGGTGCAGATTAAAAGTTGGTGCTTTAAAAAGACAGCACTGTTTGGGCGAGGTTCAAAATAGCAGCAGGATGAAAAGTGTTTGTTCCCTCACAGAACAGGAAAAGAAACGGTATTAGCTGCAAAGATCAGAAGAAGGCAGCGTTAACACTGGAGTAAGTTTTCACAATACTGTTGAAATCTGAGTTTTTAATACGTGTTCCAACTTTTGTTTTTCTTTTTACAGCTCTGTAGAAAATCTCCCTTGGTGGTTGCTATTGTTGCTATTGTTTTCAGGTTTTATGTTACTGAAGTCTGTCTCAGACTGCAATTGTAAACACAGTTGTTCTACTCTTTTAGTATTCCAGACACTGATACCAAAGTCAGTATTTAATAATAGTCTTTGACCTTCATGACCTCTAATAATATATTTACAGTTATTTTCTATCAAGCATTTATAACAGCTGCTAAATGAAAATTAAAAAAATAAAGAAACAGGAGGAACACCCTCCAAACGTACTATCAGCGTCAGCATATTTGTTGAAACACCACAAACACAAGAACGAGCTGATATGAGTTAAGTAGAGCCTTGTGGTGACATTAAAACAAGATTATTTTTAAAATACACTGTCATATGATCTCTGTAAGAACATATGAATAAATTCACATACAAAATGTTAAGGAAATCCTTTTCATCTGTTGAAAAGAAAAACAACATCATCCATTACATTGGATTTTTAAGTCATAAACGACTGGTAACAGTATCAGTCTTAAAGTTCCTACATCAGTCGAACTCTAGACATCATTGTACATTATACTGTTATTTATGCTCTTGTCCTTCTTGAAACTATTTGACAAAAACATAGCCATTATTAAAGCTGAAAAGGGAATCCTTGTCCAGGGAGGTTTGCTGCAATACCTCAAGTTTCTAACACAGAAATTATGATACCAGCATATCATGTTTACAATGAAAGATTTTTCTTTTCTCTCTCAACTTTTGAGACACCTCACTTATATCTGCTTTAAAATAGGTTAATCAAGCAAATCCAGCACTGCTTTAGAGGTCCCTATATACTTTTTGCAACAGCTTTGTATTGTTGCAACTATTAAATAAACAAAGTCAGGATAAAAGGTTTGAAGCTTAAAAATCAGTCCCACAAGTCAACACATGCATGCAAGATTATTCATAAATTGGTAAATTGTTTTTTTCTCCCACAAACTGGTTTTACTCTAACATTTAAAAAAAGCTGTTATACTAGAGTCTCATTGTTTCCCATGTATTGTAATCCAAACTCCTTAGTCACTAAAACAACAGCGTCTTATCAGTCTAACTTTTTTTACACACTCACACTCAATGAGATGAGGTCAGCCATTCGATAAGAGAGCCTCTTGACACAGTTGTCAAACCATCTATATTTTCTAATAATACCAAATCAGACCGATAAGATCAAAGTGAAGTCGAGTCATGTGGAACCGAAGCTGCTGTCCAGTCAGCCTGATTGCAAGATGCTTAGATTCAACAGCTCTTTAATCCATTGCAGAGTCTTAAAATAATACACTGCTACAAAGTTATCTTTACTTGTGTGTTTGTGTCTAGTTTTTGCCAAAACAACCAGCTTATGTGGAATATGAGAGCTTAGTTCTGTTATTTGATTGACTGTAGCTGATTAGAGTTATTTCCAACCTAAAGCTGATAGGGCCTCCACAGCTTTCTTTCATCCATTAACCATTGCAAATGTGCTCATATGTGTGTATTTGTGTGTAAATGTTCTGACAGAATGTCTTAGCTCATTTCAAGGAATTCCCACCAAGGTTTTGTTTTTTTTTTCCTCTTGTGTTTGTTCAGCATTTTTCTCATTCTTTTTGCCTGCTATTGAAGTGAGTCTACGTGTGCTTTAAAGGGGTTTGGGTGGTGTGGAGATCGGGGGGGGGGAGGTAAGCCAGGGAGACGGCGTCTTTTTGTAGAGAAGGAAACACAAAAATACACATGTAAACACATACAACAAAATAAACACTATTTGGCCTTTCTGCTCAGAGGAATTTGTCATCTCCACTGAAAAGACCAGATGACCCAAATACAATAAAAACTAATACACAAGCACAAACATATACACAGACTCGGCTACTACCATCGAAAACATCATAAAATATCACAGATGTTCAACTATTTCCCATACTGCTTATATTCTGTGAACCGCTCTAATATTGCTCAAGATATTTATTATTATAATAACAATTTACAACAACTTGCTAATATGCAGGACTAATAATACAGCGAAATGTTGAGCAACTGATGGTAAAGGTGACTGCTCTGCACTGGTTTTTAACTTAACTAGGGGCGATCGTGGCTCAGGAGTTGGCCGTTTGTCTTGTAATCGGAAGGTTGCCAGTTCAAGCCCTGGCTCTGACAGTCTCGGTCGTTGTGTCCTTGGGCAAGACACTTCACCCGTTCCCTACTGGTGGTGGTCAGAGGGCC